GAAGGGACCGGAAGCTCCTTAGCCACTGCATGCAGTGATGGCTGGCTCAGCGCTGTGGGACCCACCCGGCAGGCAGTGGCCCAGGCCCACGGTCCTCCACATGGGTCAGTGGCGTGGCACCCCCATCCCAGTGAAGGAGAAATCCCCCTGGGAGCCGGGGAGAAAGTGGAGTTTGTCTGTGTTTGTGTCAGTTCTTACCTGTGACGTCGTGTGTCTTTGACAGCTGTTTGAAACGGTGCCAAGAGCCATCAGAAAGTTACTCCTCTGGCGTCTGGTTCTGTTGGACTTGAGACTTGGGGTGTGTTCGGGGCCGGGCTCTTCCTCAGGTTGCTGGGCGGGGAGGAGGGGCAGCAGCTGGGCACAGCCCTCCCGTCGGGTCTCATCCGTGCAGACCTGACGAGATTGTATTTTCATAAATTTCAGACAGTGCCAGCTCCCGAGACCTCGGTGTGCGGTCCGCAGGCCAGACAGGGTCTCGCACGGGGCTGCTTGTTAACAGGAAGCATGCAGCGCCCACCCCCGGGGGTGGTGGGAGGTGTCTGGGCTGCAAGCGCCCATGGGGTCCTCCAGCCCTGTAGCCAAGGAGATGGATGGAAGCTCTGTGCTCGCCAGGGCTTCAATGCTTCACCGAAAGGTTGGTGACATTGCACTGCCCTTCCTGTGGGCTCTGGGACGCAGCCCGGTGGCTTTGGACTGAGGCTCGTGGCCCTCCAGCTCTGTGTCCCGGCAGGAAGGGATCCCGTCTTCACTGTCACTCATGACTCAGTGACAGCCGACAGGGACCCTTTGCTTAGTCACTGATACAGGGCCCACCATTGCATGGCTGCCCGGTGACATGCCACCAACAGAGGGGACTGCAGAGTTCCAACCACACCACCCACATCTCTTATGGGCGTCAAAAGTTTGAACGGTGGGGATGTTGGATGAAGCCAGGTGTGGCTACTCACAGGTGTGATCCCAGCACTCTGGGAGGCTGAGGCACGAAGATCACGAGTTTGAGCCCAGCCTCCTCCTTCATCTCTCCAGGGGAAGTCGAGTCAGTCACCACTCACTAATGGTGAGGTTCAGTAGCTGGCTGGGCAGGCTTTCAGCCCCAAGCCTAGCATGGAGAGAGTCTGGGGATCAGGGGCATAGTGCCTCTCTCCTCCAGCAAGCCCAGCTATCGAGGAGCCGGAGATGAGGTTGTACCTCTGCGAGTGGCCACTTGGAATGCAGGGGGGCCCCGGGCCCCTCCAGTGAGGCAGGCAGACCTGTTAACTTGAAATCCTTCGGGTGACCCCATTGTGTGCATGAAGGTGGGCTGGTCACCTGAGAGCCAGCCACATTTACCTCCCTCCCCCAGGGAATCGAGCAGAGTGGCAGATGACCCCTGGTCCCAGGGAGGAGGTGTGGTGTTCTGGTCCCCAGAGGCCTCGAAGTCTGCCCAGCTCTCAGCACAGCCAGGACACCTACAGGAAGGTGGAATGGTTTCCCTCCCCACAGGGTGCTGAGGAGTGGAGTGTGCTGAGCTCTGGCCGCCACGTGGGTCCCCTCAATTTTAGATGAGGGTCTTCAGCTCCCAGAGGTGATGTATCCAGGGTCTGTCTGCTGTCCAGAGGATGGGACCAAGGCCAGCCAATCTGCATCCCCAGAGGTGTCCAGAATAAAGATGGAAAGCTAGCCAGTGCTCCAGGAGTGCTGGGAGAATCAGCAGAGAATGAGGCCCTTTCTAGCTCTGAGCTGTCAGGGAGGCTCAGGGCATAGCCCCCTCTTTCTGGTTGTGTGAGCTGGGCCATCTACTCTCCAACCCTCAGTTTTCTCTTCTGTAAAATGGGAATGGTGACTGTACCCAAGTCAGGAGGCTCAGAGCTGTACCCCTGTTTACATCAGGAACTTGTCAGTGGGCACGGGCTGTGGCCCAGACCTCTCGTCACTCCTGGCCTGTCCCTTCTGCAGCTGACCATCCCATCACCACAGCAGAGTCCAGGGCCAGGGTCTGGAGGGAGTGGTGTCTTAGTTACTTTTCTCATTGCTAAGACAAAATACCTGATACCCAGAGTTAAAGGAGGAGAGGCTTATTTAGCTCAGTGTATAGAGGGTTCAGTCCATGCTTGGCTGGCTCCAAGGGAGGGTGGCACACAGCAGAGGGACAACCATTCATGGCAGCAGAAGACAACAAAAGCAAGCAAGCAAGCGGTGACCACTGCTGTCCCTGTCCCTCATGTCCACCCAGGCTACTGAGGGCGGGCAGCACCCACAGCCTTAACCCCAGTGCCCTTGAGCCCAGCTCTGCACCGTGAGTCCATCGCACTCCAGTGCCGCTGCCACCTGTGAACAAACCCACCTGTGACCACGTGGGGCTTTGGGGGACCGTCTCTGCATGCAGGGAATGGGTGCAGGAGTCAGATTAGGGAAACGGAGCAAGAGCATGCAGCTGTGTCTGTGCTGTTAGTAGTGGGGTGGCCTGGGACCGGTCCCAGCCAGAACCCCCCAGCAAGCCCCCCACAAAGTCACTGGACCTGGCTGCGGGCCTGAAGGAGGAGGAAGCTTTGCAGACAGTTTCTGGCTTCTCCAGAGAGGCTGGGGTGTGGCCGCTGTGGGCTGGGCCCTGCAGGGTCTGACTGATCCCATTTCCTCTGCCTGGGCCACAAGGAGTCTGAGCGGCCCAGCCCCGCCCTGTCTGCTTCCCGCCCTCCAAGACGGGCACCCGGGGCACAGAGCCATGCCACATGCTCCCCTTCACGCTCACTTCCGGTTTCCAGGGTGACTCAGGCTTTGGGTGGGGGGCTAATGCTCACCCTTCTGTCCTTTCCAGTGACCTCCAGCCCCTTCGTGGCCCTGTCTGCAGGGGTGGGGGCAGGCGGCAGGAGGAGCTGCGCTCTGTGATGGCTCCCGTGGCTGCAGCCTCAAGTAACAGAGATGCAGTGAGGGTGGGGTGTGGTGGCGCCCAGCCCCACGCGGCCACCTCCCTGGTGTCCTCAGCAGTCAGCCTCTCTTTCTCAGGCGGGTTTTCTTGGGCGGCCAGAGCCACATTTCTCTGCTCTTCCCCTTTTATTTCCAAAAACGTTTTCCACTCCCTGAGCACCCACTGGCCTGTAGGGGGATCCATGTCCCCCACTCTGGCCTTGCCTTGCCCCGTCTCACCACCACCATCAGGGTCCCAGGCCATTGCAGGAGGAGGACAGAGGCCCTGTGGGGTGCCAGGGCCTGGGACAGCACCTCCCTCCCTGCAGGGCTGGCGAGGACAGAGCTCTGGAGACTGCGTGTGGGAGGTGGGGTGACCCCAGCAGGGGTGAAGAGTACACGAGGAGGGGTCGCAGGCCCTTGAGGGGCCGTGGGTGTTGCACAATGCCGGCCCTGTGTGTCCCCTGAATGCCAGGCTTTATCCTGGGGCCCAGCAGACAGACCTGTGCCCTGCAGAATCAGGCCAGACTGCGGAGGCCCCAGGCAGCATGGGGACAGGAGGAGGTGTGGCCACGGTGACCTGCTCCCCTGCCCTCATCCCAGCCCATGCTCTGCTCTGCTGTGCTGATGGGTGCTCCAGGGCCTCCCCAGGAAGCTTGGGGAGCCACGGACCCCACCAGGTGGGATCCTGGCTCCCCTGGGGGGTGAGGGACATGTCCAGCCCTGGAGCACAATCAGAGCCTCCTCTGCAGCGAAGCTGACAGCCAGGGCGTCAGGCTCTGGGCCGCTGCTGTGTGCCTGGGTCTGCTCTGCCCTGACCCTTCTCTGTGGTGGCGGCAGCCTGAGACTGCGTGGGATGCTCAGGGGTGGCTTTTGTCCCACTTGTGGCCAGTTGTGACACCACAAGTGTCCCAGGCATGGTCACGTGTGCCCTGGTCGCAGACACGAAGGCCTTGTGTGAAGGACGGAGGGTGGGCAGCACTGCCCAGCATCTGCAGGGGTGCAGGGCAGGGAACAGTTCTGGGGATAAGTTCTGCTCCATGACGGGGAGCACGGTGCCCAGCTGGCCTGGGCTGCCACCTGTGGCGGGCTGGAAGGTGGGGCTCTCCCTCCCGGGGTTCAGAGTCTGTGTTTCCACTGCCACCTCACTCCTGTTCCCCAGTGGTGACGGTGGCCTTGCGCTGGAGCGTGGCCGTGGGATAGCCTTGGCTGATGGCTCGTGAGGGGCTGTCCTCTGGAGAGGCACATTCCAGGGCCCTGGCTGGGCCAACTGCCACCCCACCCGTCTACACCTCACCTCCGAGGCGTTCGGGCACCCTGCCCATCGCTGGGGGCTCCGCTGGCTCCGACTGGGTCCAGCTGCCCAGCTGAGGCCCCCTGCATCAGCAGAACCGCCTGGCTCAGGCAGGATCCAAATAACCACTTTCCTTTTCCAGTGCTTGAGGGTTTTCTATCTTCTAGGGGAAAAACACCCCCCCCCAAAAAACCCCAAGAATTGCAACATTTCGAGCCCCTCAGGCTCTTCCCCCAGTGGGGTGCTCACAGCCCCGTCCTGCAAGAGCCTGAGCTGATCTGGTAGTGAATGGGTGCTCGAGTTATGTGGGTTTCTGTCTGTGGCCTGTGTACAGGATTTGGGGTGTTGGGTTTGGGGCATGTGGAATGTTAGGGTACTGTCTTGGGGTATGTGGAGGAGTGTTGGTGTGTGTGTGAGGATGTGTGTAGGAGTGCCTGTGTGTGTTGGGGAGTGTGTAGGAGTGTTGGGGTGCATGTAGGCATTTCGGGGTGTCGGTGTGGGTAGGAGTATGTGACTGCACACATCACACAGACCATTGTGCATCACTCCATGCTTGGGTCTCATCCTCCTGCGGTGGCTCCTCCCCAAGTTCCCCCAGGTTGGGTCTGCATGTCCCCCATGGCTCAGGTTCAAGTTTGGCCAAGGTAGAGCCTCTGGAGAGTAGGGTCCCCCGCCGCAGCCCCAGGCCGATGGGAAGGGATTTCCGGGCCCACACCCTGCCTGTCTTGCCAAGTTCCCAGTCCAGGGGGGCTGTGGGCACGTGGGTGGGGTGGGCGGGGTGGCGCCCGAGCCCTGGGACCTCACGCTTGCCCTGTCCCCGCAGCGGAGCTGGAGTTCGTGCAGATCCTGGTCATCGTGGTGGTGATGATGGTGATGGTGGTGGTGATCACCTGCCTGCTCAGCCACTACAAGCTGTCGGCGCGCTCCTTTATCACCCGGCACAGCCAGGGCCGCAGGCGGGACGACGGCCTCTCCTCGGTGAGTGCTGAGTGCTGGCCGTGGCCACGCCTGGGTCTCCAGCAGCGGGGGGGGTACCCTGTGGTGGTTCCCAAGGTGTCCCCACCAGGGTGCTTCTGGTGTCCTGGTTCAGGGCAGGAAGGCGGAGCCTAGAGCCCCACCCAGTGTGACTTTCTCCCTACCTGGTGGGGTGACAGGGCCTGCGGTGACCTCCCTGAGCCACGGTGGTGCTGGATGCCACAGAGGCTTGGGACGGGCTGGTGGGGGCATCAGGCACCCTCTGGTGGCTCCGAGGTCTGGGGGTGGCCTCTTCGGATAAGGCCTCACTGGCTCACAGCCCACGCTCAGGGCTGGGCCGAGGTTCGTCTTTACCTGGGCTTTGGGCCGAGTGGAGACAGGAGGGGAGGAGGCGGGAGGCGGCCGCGCTGAGGTAACTGGGTCAGGCGGCGGCTGCTGGTCAGAGCCCGGGGGACAGCCAGCACGGATGCGCAGCGCAGCTGGCATCTGGCTCTGCCCAGAAGGACGGGCGGAGGACAGGGATCCCGCCCTTGTGCCAGCACCCTGCCAGCATCTGCCCTGTGGTCACTCACACTGCCCCATCCGAGGGGAGGAGCCTCTCCCCAGCTCCACCCTTCCCGCTGTGCCCGTGGCGAATGCCCACGGTCCCCAAGTGTACAACACGGGCTGAGGACTTGGGATCAGCACGGCGGGAGGGCAGGATCCTAGCCACAGGTCCATGTGATCAGGCACAGACAGAGGACATCTTTGCAGAGGGCTGCAGCTGACCCAGAGGCCTGGGCGAGCTGTTCCAAGGCCGAGCTCCCCAGTGTGAAGATCAGGGTACGGGATGGGGTGGGGGAGATGCGTGCTGTCAGCAGTTCACGTCTTGGGGGTCCTCATGCTTGGTGCTCCCACCTGTAATCCCAGCCCTGGGCAGTTGAGGCAGGAGGACAGCAGGAGCTCAAGGCCAGCCTGGGCTACGTAGCGAGTTCAAGGCCACCCTAAGCTATATACTGGGACGCTGTCACATGTCACAGACAGACAAGCAAAGTACCTGAAAGCAGAAAGGGGGTTCCCCGAGCTCCTCTCCTGCATCACGTGGTGTTGGAGATAAGGCATTCAGAAGTTACTTAAAGGGCAGAGAAGGATGTGCAGGGCCCTGTGAACCTCTGCACGCTTTTTTTATAGAAGGAGCTTGAGATCCGCAGACTTGGGGTATCTCAGGAACGCTGGGACCCATCTCTGTGGATCCCATACCAGGAGGAACCCTTGCTCCCCATGCTAACCCTGCATTTTGGTGTCAGAACTGCGAGCACCCTCACACGCCGGGGAGTCCCAGTGCACAAAGTTAGCTCTCAGGGGTCAGGGTCCCCAGGCCCCGGGAGGGCTTTATCTTGCCAGGTGTCCCCTCCCCCAGCTTCGGCGGGCAGCAGCGCTGATTCCAAACTGTTCCACTTCTGCGCCTGCCCGCGGAGCCCAGCTCAAGGGCTGCACGGGGCGGGGTGGGAGCAGCTGTCTGCGGGATGGGGCAGGCATGTCAGGGAGGAGGTGGGCGGCCTGTGGGCAGGCGAGCTTGTGCATGGCGGGTGCAGGACAGGCAGCGGCAGCGGCGGGCAGGGCTGTCCAGGTCTTGGGGACGCCTGGGGCTGGCAGAGGCACCTGGTGTCGGTATCTCGAGCTCAGCCAAGTCGGCGCTGGCCGCAGCCCGAGCCAGCAGGGCTGTCGCTGGCAGGTTTGGACACCGCTGTTCACGTCAGGCCCGGCCCCAGTGCGTCACCATGTCGTCAGGGCAGGGGCATCTGCGGTGGCACCTCTCCCGGGGACACCAGGCACCCCAGCCCCGCCCAGCGTGCGTCCGGAGGGCAGGCTGCATCTGCTCCCGAGGAATCTGCCGCCTCCGAGGCCCGAGCTCCTCTGGCTGCTTGTTTGCTGTTGTTACCCCAGCAACAGGGCTGCCATCTGCCTGCAAGCGTCCTGCGTGTCGCGCCTGCCGTCTGCGGCTCACAGGGCTCGCCCCGCTTTGTAGGAAAGAGCCGGGCTCAGAGGGGGAGCAGCTGCCGAGGCCCCGTCACGCGTCGGGGGCTGTGTGAAGAGCCTGTGGCCCATTTCAGGAAAGATAAAGATAGGTGAGATTTCAGGGAGCACAGGCAGAGGCTGAGGGCTGGGGTGACCTCCTTGCTGTCACAGGCAGCCCTGGGGCCAGCTGCCCACGCGGCAGGGTGCTGGCCTGGCCTCCCAGACACCTGGGAATAAGCGAGCCCCACCCCTGCTCAGCTGCCTCCCCAGCCACACCTCAAACCCCAGGGACACCAGGCTGGGTACACATGGAGCCTGGGGGGCCCAACGGAGGCAATGGCCGGGCCTCCCAGGGCCCCCAGCTAGACAGTGTGTCTGAGGAGTCCCTGGGCCCTGTGACTTCCAGAGAGACTCAGATAGCTGCTGTCTGCCTGGGACCTGGCTGCATCCACCTACCCACCCAGACTTGGCACCATCACCCCTTTTCAGGGTGACTCCGGGGTCCACACACACACCTGTGTGTAGCTAGCACTGTACCTCACCTTACCCACAGGTCATCTCTGTGTAACCCAGGCCTGGGGGGCGAGGGGGCACCAGCACTGAGGTCAAGTCTCAGGCTCGGGTGACGTCAGCCAGGGTACAGGACTCCGGGGACATCTGGCCACTGCGGGGCAAGTCCTGGAGGGGACAGGAGAGGGGTGTGGCAGGCCAGGGGTGCCGTCACAGCGTCACCACACATGTAATCAGAAGACCCCTCCTCCTACCTGAGCCCCACGCTTCGCCTTCAGGCTCCAGGCTGGACTCAGGCTGGACTCAGGGTCACCCACTTCCCTCTCCTCTGGCAGCCATCAGTGGAACCCCACGCAGTCAGCCCCTTACCTGCTCACCGGCAGCTCCTTGCCAAGTGTTGTGTGTAAGGCCAGCTTGGCCAGGGCCTGAGTCAGCAGGACCCTTGCTCTGCTCTGTCCCTTTTGTCCCCAAGTCAGTTCTCAGCTTGGGTCTCCTGCCCAGGGCCCATGGAAAGACCAGGTGCAGCGGTCAGCCAGGAGAGTGGCCAGGAGCTGGGCCCCTGCGGCAGAGGCATCTTGCCAGGTGTTGGGCTGTTTCGCCGTTTGGTGGATGGCGGCCCTGTCTCCTGGAGGGTCGGACTGGCACCCGAGACCCAAGGGACAGTACTGGGGCCTCACCTGGCCACCTGGAGCTGCAGGCCCTGTGATCTGCCCAGCAGGTGGTGGCTCCAGGTGTCTGCCGCTGAAGGCAGGTGGAGGTCATCAGGGATCGTGGGCTGGCCAAGGAGCCAGCAGACTGTAAAGTTTTATTGACACGCAGCCACCTGAAGTTCTGCATAGGCGTTTGGCTGTAGCAGTGGAGTTGGCTGGGGGGACAGACAGGCTGCCCATGGCAGGAATCACGTCACTGTGGCCCATTGTATGCTCAGCTAAGGACATGGACCAACAGAACTCCCAGAGGGAGTAGGCGGCCATGGACAGAGTGCAGCCGCGGGAGAGCATGTTGGGAGGAGATGCTGTGGGCTGTGCGGGACCCGGCCAGGCAGGGTCCTACATGCGGGGCTGGACTTGGTCCTGGACAGCCGGGCAGTGGAAAGGTTTAAGCCACTGGGGTGACCTAAGGGGTGTGGGCAGCCCTCAGGTGCAGCATTCAGGTTTAATTGCAGTGTTGGCACTTCGTGATAAGTAAGTGGGTTTTGGGGTGCATTTGGCCCCTTGGTCTCTAAAAGGTTCGCCATCACTGGTTTAAACTGAGGGGTGGTGGGGCTGGGAGAGAGGGATCCTCCTGCTTCTATGGCGGCAGCGGCGCTGTGGGAGGAGGGCAGTGAGGGGGAGACGAGCCACCGCCCCAGACCCGGGAGAGCCCTGGAAGAGAGGCTGCCTGGCCAGCACCCCGCACACCCTGGTGTGCCCAGGGTCCGAGTCTGAGAGACTCGATTTGGTCTGGGGTGGGTGGAGCAAGGAGGGTGGGCTGTGAAGGGTGACCCATGGAGTGCTTGTGCAGCGGGAAAGATGTCAGGGCTGTCCAGTAAATGTGGGAACAAGGTGGTGACCTCCTTTACACAGAAGTGTGTCCTGCTGGGACAGTCTGAGGGCCATGGGGGGCCCCCTAGTGGCCGTCTAGGAAACTGCAGCCTCTGGTGGGTCCGCCCACACTGAGACAGTTACCTTGGGGGGAACCTGCAGGAAAACGTGTCCCCAAGGAAGCTCTTTGGACAGTGGCTGTGTTCATCCGCTTGAGTGTGGTGATGGCTCCCTCACCTACATGTGTGCCCGAGCTGAGCACATTGGAGAGCTGAACATTGAGAGGGCACTGGCCGCAACACGGGGCAGCCAGTCCAAGGGCCCTGTGGGTCATGCCTAGCCTGTTGGACACAACAGACCTGGTCTCGGTGGCTGGAGGCAGGATGGTGGTGACCTCTGACGCCTGCACCTTCCCTGGGTGTGGGGGTCCACTTGTTTCATTCTTCAGCAGCCCCACGAGGTGGGGGTGTGGTTTTCCACACTTTTAGGTACAGACACTGGCATCAGGGTCGGGGAGCTGGCCCCTGGTCACTCAGCGAGCTGGTGGGAAGGGTGAGGTCACACGGTCACACTGCGCTTTCTGACAGCGGTTAGGGCTTTACTCTCCAGGCCACCACAGCCCCTGTGGGCTCCCTGAGAAGCCCTGATGTACACTGGGAAGCTTCAGCAGTAGAGGACAGCAGTGACCCCCGAGGGCAGGGTTAGTGCGGGGCTCAGGTGCTGTGACCTCTGGGGTGGCCCGGAGAAAAGTCTCAGGTCGGAGCAGGGGCACCTTTTGCGTCCCCTCCTCTGCCCACCCCGCTGACCTGCCTGTCCCTCCCCGCTTCTGCAGGAAGGGTGCCTGTGGCCCTCGGAGAGCACGGTGTCAGCTGGAGGAATCCCAGAGGTGAGCCCAGCACCCCTCCCTCCCCGCGCCACGGCACGTGGCCCTGGCTCCCCTGTCCCCAGGAGGGTGGTGCGGCTCTGGTGGCCAGGACCTCGTCCTGGGTGGCTTCTTCCCCGCTTGTGCTGTGTCTTGGCTGTGCCCCGAGCAGGGCAGCCAGCTCTCCTCTCTGCCTCTGGGCTGGGCCCCAGACCGCTGCCCGCCTCACTGGGCTCTGCTCTCCAGCCGCAGGTCTATGCCCCACCTCGGCCCGCTGACCGCCTGACCGTGCCGCCCTTCGCCCCCCGGGACCGCTTCCACCGCTTCCAGCCCACCTACCCCTACCTGCAGCACGAGATCGACCTGCCGCCCACCATCTCACTGTCTGACGGAGAGGAGCCCCCGCCCTACCAGGGCCCCTGCACCCTCCAGCTGCGGGACCCTGAGCAGCAGCTGGAGCTGAACCGGGAGTCGGTGCGTGCCCCCCCCAACAGAACCATCTTCGACAGTGACCTGATGGACAGCGCCGTGCTGGGCGGCCCCTGTCCCCCCAGCAGTAACTCGGGCATCAGCACCACGTGCTACGGCAGCGGCGGGCGCATGGAGGGGCCGCCCCCCACCTACAGCGAGGTCATCGGTCACTACCCCGGGCCCTCCTTTCAGCACCAGCAGAGCCACGGGCCGCCTTCCCTGCTGGAGGGGACCCGGCTCCAGCACCCACACATCACCCCCCTGGAGAGCAAAGAGAAGGAGAAACAGAAAGGACACCCCCTCTAGGAGCCGGGGGTGGCCAGGGCCACTGTGGGTAAGAAGGCAAACACTCCGCACTTCCTAGAAGAGAAGAGAGGAGACCAGGGCGACACACGGGAACCGCAGCGTGTGACACCCCCACCTCTCCGTGTATAAATATTTACGTGTTATGTGTGGTCTGAATGCACAAGCTCAGAAAGCTTGCAAAAAACAAAACAAAAAAAAATTCCACGTTTCTTTGTTGAGCCGTGTCTTGAAGGCAAAAGAAAAAAACCTACAGTAGTCTTTTTTTTTTTTGTTCTAGTTGAGCTGCGTGCGTGAATGCTTAATTTTCTTTTGTTTATGATGATTTCACTTAACTTTAAAGACATATTTGCACAAAACCTTTGTTTAAAGATCTGCAATATTATATATATAAATATATATAAAATGAGAGAAAACTATGTGCGAGGGCAGGAGTATTTTTGTATTAGAAGAGGCTTATTAAAAAAAAAAGTTGTTTTCTGAACTAGAAGAGGAAAAAAATGGCAGTTTTTGAGTGCCAGCTCAGAAAGTGTGTATTACCTTGTAAAGAAAAAAAAAAAAATTCAAAGCAGGGGTTTAGAGTTATTTATATAAATGTTGAGATTTTGCACTATTTTTTAATATAAATATGTCAGTGCTTGTTCGATGGAAACTTCGTCATGTCTGTCGAGAGTTGGAGGGGGAAGGTCTGAGTTGGAGAGTGGAGGTCAGGCCCCAGCCCCGCCCCCGCAGCGCACTGCCTACGTCCAGTGTAGGTGGACACTGTGCTGTCCGTTTCCTGCCAAAGGGGGGACACGTGTTTTCCCTCTGGGCCAGAATCGCTTTTGGGATTCAATCCAAAGTTACCCAGAGGCACCAGGGTCCAGGTGGTGGTTTTGCCTTTCCCAAAATGAAATAAACCGTTACCGAAGGAATCTTAGCTTTGCTTCCTGTTCCGAGCTGCGGAGGTCCCCGTGGGAAGGGGCGCAGCCCCTTGCAAGCCGCAGCAGTCCCTGTCCTTGGCGCCCAGGGCAGGCCGAGGGTCAGGTGCCATGTGGGTGCTGAAAGCTTTGGGCTGGCGCAGTCGCCCAGCGTACAGGAAGGACCCGGGTATTAGCAACCTGACCTCATCCCGAGGCCTTGGCCATCTCGATTTTCACAACTAACAGATGACCCGAGGTGAAAGGTGATGAGCCCCGGTTTCTTCCGGGATGTGTGATCCACGTGTTAGTAAAGAAAAAGACAAAACTCAAACCAGCATACACCCGAGCGCCAGGCTCTCGCAGAAATCCTTACCCTCTCCTGCCCCTCGTCCTCCCTGTCGTCTGGGACACAGCTGTCTGTCGTGTGTCTGTCTGTGATTCCAGGGTCGTTTTGTGTGCCAGGCTTTTGCTGATTGGGTTTGAGATGCCTGGCCCCCGTGTGGCGGTGGCAGTGTGGCAGGGCAGAAGCAGGCACACTTAACTAGAGGTGATCACGGTCTCTGTCTTGTCTCGGGGTGGGGATGGCCCTGGGTCCCACCTCGCTCTGGGGTCCAGCGGCCCCCTCTGTGTCCTGGGGGTTACTGCTTTTGAGACATCCCTGTCACCCTCGTGCTTCCCCACGGCGGATGCCCCCTGCTCAGGGAGGTCACCCCTCCGGTCCTGGCATCCTTTTTGTGCGTAATTCCCACTTGAGTTGAAAACCTAGAAAATGGACCCCATTTGCACACGTGGCGTCAGCCACAACTTGGGCTGAAGTCTCCTGTCCTGGAGCCAGACGCCTGTGCTCTGCGGGGTGTGGTCTGTGTGTGCTGGAGTGGGGGTGTCCTTGGCAGCATGAATTGCTCTGCTTGTCCCCAGCGTAGGCCTCTAGGGTTCCCAGGCTCATGCCTCACTGACACTGCCCGGGCTTGGGGAAGTGGGGTGCATCCCCAGGAGTCAGCTGGGGGGTTCCAGCTCTCAAAGCTGCCAGTGGAGCTGAGCTCTTGGCTTCTGCAGACCCCATTTCTCCCCTAGGTGTAGGCTGAGTGTCCTTACCCTCGAAGTGTCCATCAGGAGCCCCTGCCTCTCCAAAGACAGGAAGTTAGTGGGGATGCTGAGTGTCTGGCTGGAGGAAGACCAGATTGACTGGGGGGCTCTGTTGCCCCATCCTGGGCTCAGAAGACCGAGGGACGTGGCTCTCCCCATCCTACCCTTTGTTCTCTGCCTGTCGACCCCCACATTTCCTGCAGAGAAAAGTCCCTGCCTCTGCAAACCCGGGTCTAGAAACAGACTTAGCGAATCGCACTGAGAGCCAGGCATCTTGCAGAAGCCCAGCATTTTTTGGCAAAAAGCTGGACATGACCCCTTTGACCACGTGGGGTAAGGCACAAACCACAACCATGTCCCTGTCCTCGTCTGTTCTGTCCCTGTGTGTTGTATGTTTCAGATTATTATTATTTTTTCCTATGTACAACACAGCTCCCAGAACCATGAAGCCCCAGTGATGGGGAAAGGAGACGCGTGGGGTTTGTCGTGTTCTCTGGACACTGCGCTCGGGGCGACGCTCTGCTCGGAGCTCCGAAGGCCAGCGCCGCCTTCCCGTCCTGCTGCCTGACTGCGGCTGTCTGTCTGTCGTGCTGACCGCCATGCTTGCATGTTGCCTCCGGGGCGTTAGAACTCTTCCCCCGCCGCCCTGTGTCCCCGTTCTGTTCAAGTTAAACTCTGTTAGCTCCCCGCGCTCGCCAGGCGCAGCACCCGGGCTGCTGCCGTGAAGACTTTGTGTCTGGAAACTCATCCGCAGGCCTGAAGAAATTGCTTGTTGTGTATCAGTAATCATTAGTGGCAATGATGACATTTTGAAAAGCTGCAATACTTATACAATAAATTTTACAATTCTTTGGAACAAGGCCTTTGGCTGTGTCGTGCGTCCCCCCCGCCCCCATCTGCCACCCTCTACACCCTCTGCAGCCGTGTTCGGTGGCTCGGGCGAGGGCCCTCAGGGCTGCCGTGTGGGCTTGGACGGTCTGTTCAGCCTGTGCTTTGGTTCAGACAGAATCCAGGGAGCTGGGCGGAAACAGGTCCTATGCAAGTGGTGGCTCCAGGGAAAGGGGTGGCTTGAGGGTGACAGTATAAAAAGCTGCCTATTTTTCTTCTCTCTTGAAATCACCATTTACCACAGCATCAGGAAAGTTCCAGAAAGATCTGCAAGACAGAAACTGGCTTAGGGGGAGTTCTTCCAGAAGCTCTGAGACATGGTACCCACAGAGCTGAGTTAGGGTTGTTTCCTCCCCTGGGAGGAAAGGGAGGGCCGAGGCAGGAGAGAAGTTGGGCCAGGGAGGCTCTGGCAAAGTCCCACCTACCCAACCCCCACAGGGGGTGCAGGGGACCTTGGAGTGAGCTGTCCTGGGGCAGGAGACGTACATGCAGGCCCTCCCAGCCACTGGTGCTCAGGAGCGGAGCACAGAGGAGTCCTAGCAGCCCCACTCAGTCCTTAGCTGGGCTTTCGAGGGGTGCTCGGATGCTAAGGTGTTCCCAGGGGACTTGAGTGGGGCCCCGTGGGATCCATTCCAGATCTAACTCACTCCTGTAAGTAGAACCATCTTCGGTGTCTGAGCAAGGCTTTCTAAACCTCAGCCAGCATAGACTGAAGCAGAGGGTGACCACTGTCGGGCCACAGCCATGGGCTTTCTTTCCCAAGCTTCCGAACCACAGCCCACTAGAGAGACATCCAGTGCTCTGAGAGACGCAGCAGCCTAGTGGATGGGGCAGAGCTGGGCACCACCTGCCTTGCCTGTTCCCTCTCTGGTGGGAGTGAACCTCAGATTGTAGGGAACTGGGGAGAAGCCCAAACTGTTTCCCAAACCCACTGTGTCCCAGCTAGGACCACACCCCTTGCCCTTGGGCGCCTGTCTACAGGCAATTGACTGCAGTGCCCAGGAGATGCTTGCCCCTGGGGTCCGCAAGCCCCCCACACGGTGCCCGGCACACGCAGACACAGCCACTCTCACTAGTAACCAGGTGCCCACTGAGCTGTCTCGACCAGCTTGCGGGTGCTGAGCTGAGAGGGGACAGGATGGCCTTCCCCAGGTAACGAAGACAGAGCAGGGTGCCTTTCCCCCCTGGAGAGGAGCCCCGGGCTGCAGTCAAGAGGGGGCCCCTGCCACTGGGTACAGCTCCCGCAGATAGCTGTCCCAGCTCTGGAATGGTGACAATGTCAGGACAGCTGACACTCACGGAGCACCTTCTAGGTTCTGGCGGAGTTGGCAGTCCTCATCGGGCAGGTCTCCTCTTTCACTCGCCGGGTATTTTTTAGGCATGGCTAGGTGCCAGGCACAGCTGGGTGCTGGGAGATGCCAGTGCCCTGCCCCACCCTGACCTTGGAGAGTTCCCTGCTGCTTTTAGAGACGGACTGGTTAGTGGTACCTCAGCCCGCTGCACTGAGGGCAAGGAGAGTCTGCTGTGGGGAACCAGGGTGGTTCATGGGGGATGCTTTACAGGTTAGGGGTACAGCTACGCCTTGACCTATGTCAGGATGCCACAAGCTGAAAATGTATTTAACACCCCGACCCACAGAAACCCCTAGGTTAGCCAGCCTGGCTTACGCATGAGCCCGCAGCTCAGAAGATCACCTGACACTGAGCCTGGTTTATAAAGAAGTGCCACAGCTGGACCAAGAGGCTGGCAACTGCCTGAGGTGGGGAGGCAGGCTTGGCTCAGCTCTGCCCATCCAGCAGGTGGGCAGCCCTGGCGAGGAAGGGAAATCCCTCGACCCCTGTGCATCAGCCAGGGTCCCGGCAGGCTGCCGTGTGCTTGGTTTAGGAGCAGACGTGGTAATCTGAAGCCAAGATCAGAGAACCCTCCTGCGGGGCCCAAACACTCGGCACTAGGTCGTGTGATGGCTGCGGCAGCTCCTCAGCTCAGCTGTGACAACCCGAAAGCAGCCGAAGACGGTGTTAACTGGCAGGTGGGGCTGCGTGCCGATGAACTCCTGGGGTCCTTGGGGGTGTTTCTCATGGTACCTTGGGATTACGGGTTTGGGAGGGAGGCTGCAGGGTGAGGCTGGAACCTGTGCTGACCCCAAACGTGGACCGCAGCCTTAATCTTCTGGCTGGGGTTGTGTCTGTCCAGTTCCCCCAGCGTGAAATCGCTCTTTTCTGCTCCTCCTGCGCTGCCCTCTCTCAAAGTGACCATGAGCAACACACACAGGAGCCGAGGGCCGGCCTGCACCTCCTTCAGGGTGTGATATCTGCGTAAATCTGCATACAACTGGAAATCTTCTGCATAGGAGGCATCCCCTGTCATCCATCGGTCACCGTACTGGATGGACTCACGGATGTCTCTTGTATTGTGGGTTACAGTCCAACATCACCTTGTACATTTTGTTATTTATTTTGTTACAGCTGTGGCCGGTCCGCTCCTACTGTCCCTTTGACATAACCTTTGTCACACCGCGGCTTGGGCTCTCGCTGCTGTGATGAGCGTGGCCTCGCGTGCCCCAGCCTCCGGGAGCATAGTTCTTCCTCGAGTCCTGGAATCAACACTTCTCCGAGGGTGCTGGCCTCCTCTCCCTGGAGGACGAGGTGCTTGAGTGCTAGGGCGCTTACTGCTCCCGAAGTGCCTGCTGTCTTCTCCAGCCCCTCAGCTGCCCGAGCCAGGAGATGCACGGTCACACGCTAAGCCGAGTGTGTGCCTGTACGTGTGCCCACGGGTTCGGAGTAAACTAAACGTGAGTTCACGATGATGATTCCACCCGGGCCATCCCCCGAGCACCGCTCCAGCCTCATCCCTCGCTGTCTGTAGCCCCTTCCTTCTGTCTTTGGTCTCTTTCCCTGCTCGGTTCCAGCGCACATGGTTACCGGATCAGAAAGGCTACTGTCCCCCTCTAGGTGACCGCTGTGTCCCGCAGAGGCCCGAGCCTGTGTGCAGCTCTCGTCACTTTCATCTTGCTGACTCTCCTCTGTTGGGCTGTTGGGATCTCCCCTCTTTTGGCAGAGTTGCTTCTTTGGCGAATTCTGCATTTCGTTCTGGGATCCCCGAGCTTTCTAATTAAAAAGTGTGCACTTTAAGTTTTCATCTTTGTGTTATAAAGTTCTACAGGTCTCAATCAATGCGCAATGCCATGATCTACCACAATAGCGCTGCTACGGACAAAAAATCCCTCCTGCCTCACTGATGCGAGCCCTCTGCCTCTACCCCCAGGGCCCTGAAAACCGCTGATCTGACTGGCACTGCGGTTCTGCCTTTTACAGAACGTCAGGTCCTTGGCATCAGATGGCACACAACCTTTCCCGGTGGCTTCTTTCCTTTAGCACTGGCATTTAGGCTCACCCACCTTACGGCTTAGATGGCTCATTTCCTCTCAGTGCCAAGGAGGTTCCTCTGTCCAGTGGACCGTCTTTGGCCTGACCTCGCACCCAGTGAGGGACACTTCTATTATTTCATCATCATCAGTTTGGACCAGGAACGAGCTGCTGCAACATTCCTGTGCAGGTTTTTGTGGCATGGGTTTCAGGTCAGCGGGGTAGGTAACCAACAGCAGCACTGCCAGATCCGGGGGTTGGGTGTGTTTGGCCGTGTAAGGAGCTGCCCGGGTGTTTTCCAAAGTAACTACACTGTTTTGTGTTTGTTCCACCAGTAACTAAGAGCGTCTCCTACTCCACATTTTTGCAGGCAATGGTTAACATCAGGTGTTTTAATTGTAGTCATCTGGAGAGGTGTGGAGGTGCCTCTCATTCTGTTTTAAAAGTCCCCAAATGGCAAATGCTTTGGGGTATCTTTCACACGCATCTTGGCCATCTGTAGGGCTTCTTCACTGAGGTGTGTGTGTTGATCTTTGGTCCATTTTTTAAAAATTGGGTGGTTTGTTTTCTTTTTGTCGAGTCTCATAAGTTGTTTATTTTGGATGCAAATACTTTAGCTGGCATCTGTTTGAAAACGCCTTATCCTGTTCTCTGGCTTGTTTTCCTTTCTTTTAGCAGCGTGAAGCAGAGACAGCTCTAATTTTAATGAAGTCTAGCTTTTTCCCTCTCGTGGCTCCTGCTTTTGATATTGCGTCCGGTAACTTACCACCAGGCCGTAATGACTGATCCTCCCAATGCTGGTTTTTTTGATCACTGGCTTTTCAGGATTGCATTGCCTTTGTTCCTCTATCAAAGATTGGTTCGTTGTATTTGTGTGGATTTTTTTCTGAGCCTTTATTCTGTTCAGTTTATCAATTCTCCCATCAATACCACACTGTCGTGATTATGACGGTTTTATAATAAACTGGATCAGCCCGAGGGCTCCAGGTTTTTCTGTTCCTTGTCTACTACACTGGCGTTCCTATTACCATTCCATATAAACTTTAAAATCAGTTATTGAGTATCATCTGTAAAATAGTTCGCTGGGATGCTGTGAATCTAGTTGGGAAGAGCTGACTTTTTTAATAATATAGAGTTTGCAAAAAAAAATGTATACCTCAGGAAAAGAAAAACTTGTTCAACTATTTTAATATTAAATCTATTGAGACATCACGAGGTTAATACAAGTTACCTTTGGACCCTACATGACAAGAGGTGCTCAGAGTGGTGACCATCAGCTTCTAGACATTTATCAGTACAGCAAAATGCTGACATAGGTACACAGTGTTTGGCGGGCTCTGTATACAATCCTCCAGGCCATGAGCACAGACTCCATTTATTTAGAACTTTATTCCCTTTATCTGAGTCTTACAGTCCTAAGCATATGTCACCTAGCATGAGCATACTTTGCTGGACTTTTAACCTTTTCATGTGTGGGTGGTAAGTTGTGAGTGGTGGTGTTTAGTTTAAGTGATATTGTTTAATTCCAAATTTTATTTGGCCATAATTGATACCTAGGAGAGCCATTGGCTTTTGTGTATTAACTTGGACTCCTGAGACACTGTTA